AGATCAGAAGTACACATCAACACACGGAAATCACAAGTACACATCAACACACGGAGATCAGAAATACACATCAACACGAGGAGATCAGAAGTACAAGATCAGAAGTACACATCTACACACGGAGAGCAGAAGTACACATCAACACCCGGAGATCAGAAGTACACATCAACACACGGAAATCACAAGTACACATCAACACACGGAGATCACAAGTACACATCAACACGAGGAGATCAGAAGGACACATCAACACACGGAGATCAGAAGTACACATCAACACACTGAGATCAGAAATACACATCAACACGAGGAGATCAGAAGTACACATCAACACACAGAGATCAGAAGTACACATCAACACGAGGAGATCAGAAGGACACATCAACACACGGAGATCAGAAGTACACATCAACACACAGAGATCAGAAGTAGACATCAACACACGGAGATCAGAAGTACACATCAACACGCGGAGATCAGAAGTACACATCAACACACGGGGATCAGAAGTACACATCAACACACTGAGATCTGAAATACACATCAACACGAGGAGATCAGAAGTACACATCACCACACGGAGATCAGAAGTACACATCAACACACCGAGATCAGAAGTACACATAAACACGAGGAGATCAGAAGTACACATCAACACGAGGAGATCAGAAGTACACATCAACACACAGAGATCAGAAGCACACATCAACACACGGAGATCAGAAGTACACATCAACACACCGAGATCAGAAGTACACATCAACACGAGGAGATCAGAAGGACACATCAACACACGGAGATCAGAAGTACACATCAACACACGGAGATCAGAAGTGCACATTGTCAACACACACAGATTAGAAGTGTACATTGTCAACACACAGAAATCAGAAGTATACATTGTCAACACACAGAGATCAGAAGTATGCATTGTCAACACACAGAGATCAGAAGTATGCATTGTCAACACAAATAGATCAGAAGTATGCATTGTCAACACACACAGATCAGAAGTGTGCATTGAGATCAGAAGTACACATCAACACGAGGAGATCAGAAGTACACATCAACACGAGGAGATCAGAAGTACACATCAACACGAGGAGATCAGAAGTACACATCAACACACAGAGATCAGAAGTACACATTGTCAACACACAGAGATCAGAAGTATGCATTGTCAACACAAATATATCAGAAGTATGCATTGTCAACACACACAGATCAGAAGTGTGCATTGTCAACACACATAGATCAGAACTATGCATTGTCAACACACAGAAATCAGAAGTACACATTGTCAACACAAATAAATCAGAAGTACACATTGTCAACACACAGAAATCAGAAGTATACATTGTCAACACACAGACTTCTATGTCAGAAGTACACATTGTCAGATCACAGAGATCAGAAGTATGCATTGTCAACACACAGATATCAGAAGTACACATTGTCAACACACATAAATCAGAAGTATACATTGTCAACACACAGATATCAGAAGTATACATAATCAACACGGAGATCAGAAGTACACATTGTCAACACACAGAGATCAGAAGTACATATCAACACACAGAGATCAGAAGTAAACATTGTCAACACACAGAGATCAGACGTACACATCAACACACAGAGATCAGACGTACCCATCAAAAAACAGAGATCAGAAGTCCACATCAAAACACAGAGATCAGAACTACACATCAACACACAGAGATCAGGAGTACACATCAACACACAGAGATGAGAAGTACAGATCAACACACAGAGAGCAGAAGGACACATAAACACACAGAGATCAGAAGTAAACATTGTCAACACACAGAGATCAGAGGTACACATCAACACACAGATATCAGAAGTATACATAATCAACACGGAGATCAGAAGTACACATTGTCAACACGCATAAATCAGAAGTATACATTGTCAACACACAGATATCAGAAGATCAGAAGTACACATCAACACACGGAGATCACAAGTACACATCCACACACGGAGATCAGAAGTACACATTGTCAACACACAGAGATCAGAAGTATACATTGTCAACACACAGAAATCAGAAGTACACATTGTCAACACAGAGATCAGAAGTACACAAGATTAGCACAAAGAGATCAGAAGTACATGTACACTACATTAACACAGATAAGAAGTACAAATTATTAACAAACAAATATCAGTAGTATTATAGCCTTTACACACATTAATTTGATACCAGAAGTATAAAATGTTAGCACACAGAGAAAGAAAGGACACACTTTTAACACAGAAATCATAAGACCCAATCATGACACAGAAATTGGAAGTACATGTACAAACATTATCACCCGAAACACTGATCACTCTCTGCCAGTTTTATATGGTTTTGTTGATGACGGAATGCAGATTCTCAATCTTGCCAAACTGCACCCCAATTATAAATTTAGCATATAGAAGAGATTATGAGCATAACTATCCATCATTCCTGAAAAAGATAATTAGCTACATTGATGGTGTGTTATAAGAACCAAGCGCGCTCCTGCTATTGCTTTTAGCAATAAACAGTATTACCAAGGGGCTTTTGTATCCATTACCAGTAACTAATAGGAACCGTTCAAAAACAAGGCTGACAAGCATCATCAAATTCTCTGAATAATACATGTTTTCTGCATCCTTAATATTCCCCTATCAACAGTGGTCATATTTGATGGAAAACATCATATCTCACTTTTACATTTAATTTTGTATCTTCCACGCAAAGCAGATTTGTGTGTACAGGTTATGTATTACATATGGTACATACTGAGGGTCTTCATGAGTACTTTCCTTTGGGACATACAGTCCGGTTGAGGTCTTCTCGGGCTGTTTGTAGTAAACAAGCTTCAATATTTTGATCAGAGATTTCAGAAACAATCTGTTTGCAAAGTAAACACATGCAAAACAAAATTGGTTTGTGTGAACTTGTGTCGGTAAATAACGGTAGTGCTTGCATGCTCTGTAACAGATCTACAGGCTTTTGTCTTCCACATGCAGAGAGATGTTTGTAAATGCATGTAGACCTGTATCAAGTGAATTGTCTACTACCAGCTAGCTAGTACATGTACATTTGGATTACTTGGTTTAGAAGTTTTGTCCGGCCTCCCCCTCGATCTATGACAAGGAAATATCCCCAACAACCTGCTGCTTTATTATTTCATATAGAACTTTCACTTTAAATTTTGTGTTTAAGCATCATTAGGCCATTAGGAAAATATGTATCTTATTCAAATAAAGGAACTGACTTTCCTGGTGGCTATAAGGGATTCTGCATTTCACCCTTAACCTTCGTCACATGCCTGAAACAAAGTGACCCACCTGTTTACCCTTACTGCTGTAAACAAAATGACCCACCTGTTTACCCTTACTGCTGTAAACAAAGTGACCCACCTGTTTACTCTTACTGCTGTAAACAAAGTGACCCACCTGTCTACCCTTACTGCCTGAAACAAAGTGACCCACCTGTTTACCCCTTACTGCTGTAAACAAAGTGACCCACCTGTCTACCCTTACTGCTGTTAACAAAGTGACCCACCTGTTTACCCTTACTGCCTGAAACAAAGTGACCCACCTGTTTACCCTTACTGCTGTAAACAAAATGACCCACCTGTTTACCCTTACTGCTGTAAACAAAGTGACCCACCTCTGTTTACCCTTACTGCCTGAAACAAAGTGACCCACCTGTTTACCCCTTACTGCTGTAAACAAAGTGACCCACCTGTCTACCCTTACTGCTGAAAACAAAGTGACCCACCTGTTTACCCTTACTGCTGTAAACAAAGGGACCCACCTGTCTACCCTTACTGCTGTAAACAAAGGGACCCACCTGTCTACCCTTACTGCTGTAAACAAAAGTAACACATCAATGGATATGAAAAAAATGAAAAGTTATGACACCCTCTGATGAAAACATACCTTTATTTAATTTAAGTGTTATGTTAGAATGAAGTATGTTAATCTCATCTGAAACAGTTTTATGTTTAGCATATATATAACATGGAAAATGTAGCTCACAGAAGTCGGTAATTCAGATTTATAATCCAGATGTTGCAATGACATATTTTTGACATTGTGAAATTTCGGTGTGTTTAATTTTAGCTCGTTCACTTCCAAGTGTTAAATAAACTAAAATAAAACTCCCAAAGTAATAGGTTATAGATTATGATGAAAGAAAGACACAGTAAGATTTAAGTATACCTTGAAAACATTACTTAAAACTATCTGTGAAGCAAAGTGAGTGCTTCTGTAGTGCCAATAAAAAGGTCTGCAACAATGTCAATTAATTAGTGAATGTATCTACATGTATTCGTATATATGTATACAGCTGTACCCTAATCAAGTAAAAATGCTACCCAGAGATGTACACCGATCAGGCACAGGCAATAAGCCTATACTAGCAGACTTAATTATTCATTACCTTAAGGCTTAAAATAATCCATGGCATGATCCATGAGTTATTCATTGAGTAGCTATTCCGTCTTTGCGTATTGCAGAGTTATCTTCTCTTGGGAGCAGGTATTGATTGTTACGTCACTTGTTAGTGAGAGTAACGTCATCAATTTTTGAGAAAACGACGTCATTTTCTCACACAAACCAATGACGTAACAATCATTACCTGCTCCTAAGAGAAGATAACTCTGCAATACGCAAAGACGGAATAGTGTAATGACAAAGATTTGTTACAGGGCACGTAACAGTCTCCTCAAACAGCTGTCAAACCTCAAACCTTAAATATAACCTTTTAACAGTTTTTAAGCATCTCATGATCAGCAACAAGAATTTATATATGTTACCAGAAAACATTAACATAGTTTCATACCATATAAACATACTTGTGTGTGCTAAATTAAATGAAATTAATATTTATCAACAGAAAAGGATATCATTTTCAGCTTTTTATGTGTGAAGAGTATCGATTTTGTTTTGAATACCGTATTTAACAAACTGTTTCTCTTTTTCTATGTTCACAGGGACATGGGTTACATTTGGTGGTCAAGTCACTGATGAGGTAAGAAGAGCACTGCAATATGTATCCTGACCATTCCTTATACAGTAAAACCTCAATAAAACGCCTATATCATTTTCCCTCCTTGCTGAAAAGACTTTTTTTCCTTTTTAGCTCACATGCCCGAAGAGCAAGTGAGCTTATGCCATGGCGCAGAGTCTGTCGTCCGTTTAGCCATCTTCCGTCTATCAACTTTTCCTTTACAAGGCTACTAGTCCTGAACGGCTTAGTGGGTTTTAGCTAAATTTGGTCTGATCATCTTAGTGCCTTCAATTTTGTATAAACAGTGGGTGTGGCCCCACTGGGGCAGGGGAGCTGGGCCCAATAGGGGTAAAACCTTTGAAATCCTTCTTCTACAATGGAGATAATGGTATTTATCCCAATTTTGTCTCTATCAAGTTGTCTAGTAGTGCCTGTTACTATTATAGTGTATTCGTTAAAACAAGATGGGCACCAGGCCGTCATCTTAGATTTTGACATTTGAAGTTTGTTCTCGCTATATCTCCAGAAATGCTGGATGGATCTTACTGAAATTTCATATATACATGTACATACAGTTCCTATTGTGGTGTGCTATATATCTATACCTCATATCAAGTACTTTAAACATATCCAGGTGAGGGATACAGGCCCTCTGGGCCTCCTTGTTTCTTAACATTTCATTAACTTTTTCCCTTGATTTTAGAGGACTACTGCATGCTGGGAAACGTTCGTCCTCGGCTCACTGGTAGAATCTATTTTTGCGCATCGTTAATTTGGCCCTTGACATGTTATTACTATATATAGTATGTCGTGATAAATTGGCCCTTATTACGGTCAGCGGAAAAGGCGAACTTTAAACTGCAGCAAAAACTTCCAAGTATGCAGTAATTAAAGTATAAAGTGTAAGTTAAAAAATCCATTAGTGGTTAAAAAAAATCATGGATTGAGTGCACAAATATTATTTACTCAAAATAGGTTTTTCAAGTTGGCGAATTAAACATAAAATATTTAAGTGCATGTAAACATAAACAGGATTATTATTAAAACTTTCACATTTCTTTTACCTGTGACAGATCGATGCTCTCAGCCAACTTCATCAGACAAATTAAATCACACGTGAATAGCTAGAATCTGAGTATAAAATGTCACCTTACTAGTCAACAACAAAGTTTAGATCAATTTTCTACACACTTTGCATAACTCTTGCTGAAATTAAGAGGTGTGCAATCTTTCTGTTTAAAAGTTGTAGTGCAATCATTCGCAAAACAATAAAGGACAAGAACCGCACATCTGTGATGCATTGAAAACGTGGTGCTCGAATGGGTAACCATTAAACAGCAAGCTAACAAGGGAAATAAAAGTACGAGCAAAATGAAAAAAAAGGTTGTCAACCACTATATCGAAGAATTATGGAATCTATTCATGGCATATACAGTATAAATCAACCATAATGTATAGAATGTCTATGAGACCCTGTCTGACTCTCTGAAACATCGCATTATACTACATCGAGAAGATAAATGGACAAGAGAAAATATTGCAGCATACATCTACAAAATCGATAGAAAAAATCTTTGATACATAAAATATATCTTGCATAGGGGACACCGGCAGACAGTTTGGGATCTGTCAGAGAGAAAAGAGTTTATATTAAGCCAAGATACATTATACACCAGTTCTCAGAGAGAGAGAAAAATAGTTTGACCATCAGATCAACAAATCGATCATCCGACAGATCACGTCATTTATTAGAATAAGCGCATATATGATGGACAGAGAAAATTAGACAGTGACGGACAAAGACGGAAATCGAACAAAACTGACATATGAAAGACAGAAAAAGAATTATAGAAATGTGACAAAACTGACATATGAAAGAATCTATTTGTGTATGCCATTTTGCGTTGGGCCGGCTGATTTCTGAATTGGATGTCTCGGGAGCCCACAGAATACATATTGCACTGTGCTCAGGTTCATGAATTTGTCATGTTATATACAGAGATAAAGCTGCATCAGACTGATTATTTGTCTAAGAAGTTGATAGAGTGCATGTCAACCATCTTTTAAATCTCTAAAATGTTACATATTAAACCCATTCAGTGCAAATGTCACCCCCAAAGTCACATTTGAACCATATGCATACCAAATCAAAGACTGGGCAAGTCTAGTTTTAATAAAGTATGTAGGGGCCGGGTGAATAAGTTAAATAGACTGTATGCAGAACATTTTCACTGCAGTATAGATTTTGTCTCTTTTTAATTCGTCACTGCAGCAAACATTTGAAAGGAACAAAGTATTCCAATGTGAAGTAAAAATAGGCAATTGGATGTCATAATTAATAAGTGAAACATAATTGAAATTAACACATGTTTACAGCAATACTCTGCAATGTTCTTGCTCCAATATGTCACCAATATTCAGAGACCACTTTGAGCTGAGATTCAGCTTTATAAGTATCTACATGTATATATATATTAAACATATGAAAAATTAAGTTTAAGGTGACAGTCAGACTGTCATTTTTTGTGATAATGAGGTCAGGACACTTACATCTAGAACTGTAATATCTGAAGTTATCATGTTTTATTAATCAGGAAGTTCGGGTATTTTAGACTTTCCGTTTTATTTAAGCTATAGATGTTAGATGTTCTGACGATATAACAAGGTTTCACAATCTGCTATTTCACAATAGCTCCACAGTCTCTATGATTATACAGTAAGTCACAAGTCTGGAACTTCGCCACTTGTAACAACCCCAGGCTCTCAATGAGAATCTGGGTTAATAGGTTTGTATTCCAGGTATGTGACATTGCAATCAATTCAGGAAATGACTGAGACAAGTTGTTGCTGTACGTATACTCAGAGAACTAGTTGAGAGTTCCTCAAACAAATCATTAATTCATGCTCTGCAATAATGGTGAGGCCTGTTTTGTGTGTAGGCACATAGCTGCTCATTCCTCTGGAATTAGTACATGAACTATAAATATACTTGTCCTCTCCCAGTACAAAGAGAACTTATCTGTGGTATTACCAGTGATGTCTGTCAGTGCATTTTCTGTAATTAGTACAAGTTTGTCTTCGCTAGCCAAGGGTTACAATCTGGTACGATCAGATATACCGGATTGTATCGGATCGTAACCCTTGGCTAGCGAAGATGGTAAAAGTTCTGCTGATATTGTTTTTTTCTAAAAAAAAAAAAAAAGAGAAGCAAGCTATTATAGGCCTTGTATCGTAACACATATGCTGGCATTAGAAAATTTCACCGCGCGCAATTTCCTGATAGTTTGTCAAATATCTTTTTAGGTCACCAGAGCCTAAGACCCATTGTATACCATCAGTCTTTGTCCATCGTTGTTGGTCATTTATGGTCAGTTAACAATTAGCTTTTTCTTTTACATATTTTTCATACCATACAGGCCAGAATCACAGCATAATGACTAGAAATTGCTTTGGTCGAGGGATATATCAAAGTTGTTCAAATAAATTATCTTGACTTTCATTCAAGGTCACAGGGGTGAAACGTGTCTTTTAGGCACCAGTGACAAGTAATTCCATTTCACCATTTCATTGTAGACATTACTGCTCCACTATATATGCTGTTCTTGTTGCAATGTAGGTCAGACATCTGAATATAATGGCCCTGTACCAAACACCTGACTGCATGGGTATTGGTAATAAGAGTACTTCTTTGGGAACAAATGTACAAATTATGTAATAACATCAGAAGTCTTTAGAAGTCTCTAGAAGTCGTATCTGTCGACCCTCCCTCATTAGGAGGGAGACTCCCTCATTTTGACTAAAATTCATCAATCGCCCTCGAAACTCCTTCATTCATGTCCAAATTCACACAAACTCAAAATCTACATCCTGTGGTCAAATGATCTCCTAGTAACTGCAGGGTTTGTGTAATGATCATAACAGGTGTGTCTGAATAAAATGAATGTTTATTTTAGTTATTTTGGTACATAAAAAGGGGAAGATAAATTGAGCAAAGCAATTTCAGCTGCGTTTCGTGCACTTCTCCCTCATTGGAAATGTGGAGTGAGGGAGATCTCCTTCATTGAAGGTTTCAGAGGTTGACACCTATGAAAGTTTGATAAAATATTTCAGCTAAATGAGAGAAGATAACTAACCGAAATCAGTATATACTTAAAATACTGAGTGTTTTGTTTCAAGGTGGCTGAAGAAATCCTGACACGTTGATGAAACCTTTCAGCTTAATTAGAGAAGATGATTGATATATAAATGACTGAAATCACTTGTTTATTGTGAAAGATCATAAGTATATTATACTGAATGTTTTTTTTCAAGGTGGCTGAAGAAATCCTGACACTAGCCTACGAGAGTGGAATCAATTACTTTGACACTGCTGAGGTCTATGCTGCTGGAAAGTAAGTACATTACACAAAGTGTTGGACCTATTTACATACATTGTCTTGCCTTTTAACTTGAATCTTCCGAGATGGTAAAAGACTTCTTGTGAACCTTCTCATGTTTAAATATTTCATTCAATTAGATGAATGCTCAGATTCGCTACTATTTTATTTGTAATCTATAAAAATGGCATTAAATGAACCAAGATCTCTTAAATTCCATTAATTGTTACAGAATTTATTTTTTTGGCAAAAACTGTGAACAACAAGCAGGTTTCCAACAAGAATTGGAATGATCTCAACCCCTTTAGTTTCCGTTGCTTAACTCTGGTATTCTACCCGTCTGTACTTGTGTCAGTGTTGTGTCCCTATCCTTCTGTCTTTGGTAACAGTAGCTCTGTCTCGGTTGCACTGGCTGTGTGTGATTGTGTTCTGATTTCAATATATCATCAGTGAAAAGTTTTTCATTTAAGAAAGATCTGTCATTAACCAGTTCAAGAAACATTCACAAACTACATCATTATGTTTTCAAATGTTACTGCAGCAAAAAAATAAAAATTCAAGTCCCATAATCTTGGAAGTAAATGAGCTCATACCATTTCCCTCACCTCTAGGTATGTATTCCTCATGAGCGCAATCAACAACCTTTATTTATGTGACCTATCAATCAGATGACGACTTTATTAGCTCACCTGGCCCGAAAAGCCAAGTGAGCTTATATGCGATGGTGCATCGTCCGGCGTCTGTCCAGCGTCAACTTTTTACTTTAAACAACTTCTTCTGAATAACCAAGAGGCCCAGGGTGAAGATATTTGGCCAGTAGCATGCTGGGATGAAGGGCTATTAAGTTTGTAAAAATGAATGGCTTTGACCTTAAATATTCAAGGTCACAGGGATCAAATTTGTTCAAAATCTTGAAATCACTTCTTCTGAATAACCATTATCCACAGGGTAATGATCTTTGGCCAGTAACATATAGGGCTACCACCTTTGTTAAAATGAATGACCTTGACTTATATTCAAGGTCACAGGGGTCAAATTTGTTTAAAATCTTCAAACGACCTCTTCTGAATAACCATGAGGCCCAGGATGTTGATATTTGGCTAGTAGCATGCTTGGATGAAGGGCTATCAAGACATCCAAGTTATCAAATTGAGTTTATTTTTTTCAAAATAATTAAATATTCTAGAAACAGGGGGAAGTCAATAATTAAATATTTTAGAGACAGGGGGAAGTCTACCATTGAAAGAAATGCCATTACATTTTGTACAGTTTTGTGACAGGCAGGCAACTGTTATAAATACTGTATTAGCAAAGTCTGAGATACGTTCAATTATCTTCATGAATCAGTTAATTTTATGTAAAATTCCATCTTTTAAATTGTTGCTAATTTTTTTCTTAACAAGAATTACATCTAAAGTTACATGGTGCGTACATTACTTTATAAGAAATAAATCAGCCCCAACCATGGGCTTATCTTAAATTGTGTAATTAGCACTTTGTACTTTAGATATGAGTTATCTAAATTGATTATCTTAAGACTGCTCAGTAGGGAAAGACTTTCAAACAGATTTGCACTGTACATTTGTAACTGTGCATTGATTAAATGTTGCTGTGAGCCTTTCCATACTTGTAAACTCTCTCTATTTAGGAGGGAGACTCCCGATTTTGGACCCTAAAATTGAGCACTTTCAACCGGAGAATATGCTAAACTATTCCTATTTTCTAAAATCTTATGATTTCATTGGAAAGAACTTTTTTTTCCTAGGGTGTACATACACACATTCTACTTATGCAACTATATATATATATGCCTTTCAAGATTACTATCCATTCATTCAATTTTATTTTTCTTATCCTTTGTAAAGAAAAGAGAAAGTTTAGATTTCTTAGTGTAGAACTCTTTTGGCATGGAGCTCAAGATACATTTTAAGTTAAAGGTAGCAGAAATCCTTAAGTGAAATTTCCACACATCATATATCACAGTCATAAATGTACAACTAAACTTCAAACATAAGAAGGATTGGATTAATGTTAAATCAATGAAAATGTCTTTGATCTGACAGGATAAATGTTTTATAGGGTTTTCAATCATTCCGTGCATAAAAGATCAGTACTGTAAGAAAAAGTGTGCCACAAGTGTTTTACATAGTGTAGAATTAACATCAAACATGCCTACCACAACATGTGGATACCATTAGCTATGCCCTAATCTACATCTATAAATATATACCCTACACATTTTGATAGATTCCATCTGACAATGTAAATGTTTCTCTTTCATGTTGCCAGAAATTCAAATGTTCCATGGATTAACAATAATTGAGAGAAGCAGCTATATGATGATGTATTATTATCTGTCTTTGTTGCTGTATTAATTTTACCTGAACATGTATAACAACACTGCGAGCTTCGCATGTGATCTCAGAAACATATAGAATCTAACTGTAATGTTGGTACAATCCTTGCACCAAAGTTTCCCCAGCTGGCATTTTAAAACAGAAATATGCAGTGTTGAATTCAGCCATGTCTAAAGACTCGGGTTCCTTAATGAATCCCTCTTTGTGTACTTCTATAAGGGACGCTCTATATTATTATACTTTCATCTTTATAACAGTATATCTGATTGGATGATACTGGTCACATTATGGGGTAATAAAACATGTAACCCTCACACACTCAAGTCTCCCCGATCATATTTCCCATTTTTGGAACCTCTCTAGAAAAATTGGCAAGAGTCACCACAACTAAGTCTCGAATGATGGAGGCAGACAACAACAATGGCGCGTCAACCTGATCATCTCTACTATTGTGTTTTGTTTTTGTTTTATTTATTTTTAGGCATAATAACATATTTATTGCCCTTGCAGCAGGGAATCACGATTCTTCTTTCTCATCGATTAGTCATGTTTGGCTTGGGATTCACTCTGACTTCACCCTCATGAAACATGATTAATCTCAGGGAAACAAAGGATTGTGTTTCCCTAGAGTAAGGGCAATAAATGTGTGTCTGCCAGTCAGAACTTCACTCTGTCCAGGGCATACCGGATATATTTCCAGATACCTCTTGGAACGACAGAATATTGTGTACATTTCAGGGGTCGACACTTACACTAGTCTGCTAGTCCTGGACTACATGTAGTAGATTTCAGCCAGGACTAGTGAACCACCTACCCTAATTTATATAACTGGTCCTTTGGACTTGTGAAAAATATGATTTTAAAATAAAAATGTTCCTTTTAAAAATTTAGTAAACTGCTAAAATTAAGATATATTGCATGATAATTGTCAAAATTTTCCTTAAACTTCACCAGATTTTTATGGCAGTATTTATTTAAAGTCCCCTAATTATAAATTTGATTACTTTTGATGTTTCGTGCTGTAGATCGCAGTGTTTTCTTATCAGGACATCTTGGGACTAGTTACATTGAGGAAGGACTAGTAAATAAACTATTTGTATAGTCCTGTGGACTACCAAGCAAAAAAGTTAGTGTCTAAAGTAACCCTGCATTTACTGTTATCAAGTCTTGTGCCCCTGGTGACTATACACAGAGTTATGGCCCTTTGTTTATAGTGTGTCACTTGTGTTTAGGGGCATACAATTTGTATGTCATTTTCAGTATAACCTACAATTGTCAACTTATAGTTAAAAATTATCTATCAAAGTTGTTTAACATTTTATTTCCATCGCTGTCATAATTCTCATTTTTAAAGATGTTTGAGATTTTCTGAATTAAGGCATCTATAGACATCTTTAAAACAAGAGAAAAAAAGTTCTTCATGACCTGTTTTGAATATTAATACTTAATTTGTATCATGATGTAAATCAGTTTATTGATTGATATAATACATTCACTGAATTAGTAGAATTAATTATCATTCGCAAAGTGGAGAGAAATGAGTTAAAATGTAAACAAAAGACAGCTGAACAATTTGTCTTTGATTTCATGTACCTGTGTATGTCAATGTTTTACTTATAAGAGTTAAAAAATCATTCTATATTAATCCCAGTTGAGTGATTTTTCATTTTTGTCCGTTTGTGAATATGCATAGCTTGGTGTGGTATGTTTAACCATGGAATTTATAGTTGAGAGTGAATCCGCTACGTCTGTATGTGTCTTAAATGTCCTTTCAGTAGTGTTGTCGAAAATCGGTTCAATAGGCCCGCTGATACAATAATACATTACCAATTATCTTATTGAATAATCATCGGAAATTCTCTAAATCAATTTGCTTTTCAAATTGCAAGAAATAGAGTTAAAAAACTTTCTACAATCTAAGAAATTTGGTTTTATAACTCAATTTCAATTGAATAAAATGAAACATTGCCAAAATTTCCCGTCGAAGAGTTGCAACTTTTCGTATGAATTGATTTTCATATTTACGAACCGATTGCTAACAATACTTTACTTCTTGGTGTGTGCGACCTCTTCAAGTGTGGGTCTTATTTCTTGTTTACAGTCATAAGAAGGATAATCCCGATCTACCTATATCTGCCTACCAACAGATGCAGGTAGCCTGCGAGGGGTAAGGGCATCGGAATGCACATGCGACATGCATGAAATATACCTTTTTTTCTCGTTCAGATTCATTCTTTCATTCATTTTTTCAATGTTCGTTCATCCCTTCATTCACCCATTTGTTTATTCGTTCGTTTATATTGTTATATTTATTTTTTGCATTGAACATTTGACATTTGTCTCTTTCTTCACTGATTCCTGTTTTTCTGTTCGGGTGTGTATCGGTGGTTATAGCTGTTTTGAAGAGTGGCTGGTCTTTTTTGTGTCATTCTGTCTTCGTCTCACTTATCACTCAATTTTCTCTGTCTTTGTGATATCTTGTGATCACTTCTGATTATCATGTGTCGTATCCTCACAATGCAGACTTGTTCTTACTAGTTCGTTCAGATTGAAATATTTCAGCTTGTTATCTTTTAATATATTAGTCTTGTACATTCTGTCTCTCGAATGAAAATACCATCTAGGTGTATATCTTATCTATTTGTAATGATTTGCACAATTTGTTATAAAATATGTCATTCAAGAATTCATACATGCCATCATGATATTTCTCCTTTTTGTGACTGGTATAATGCACCGTGCATCGTTTCTTTTTTTAATACTGTGGAGCAGAGTTAAATGAGACACTTTTCGTCCTATGAATATGAACAAAAAAAGACTTCACATGACAGTTTATGCCTGTCTGGATAGAGTGCTTTCTGGATAATCATATGGAGTCTGGATTTCCATTGTTTACCAGCTGAGTGCTTTAAAGCAAACATGAGCAAGGCAAAGTTTCATAACTACAGCTGAAAAATATCAAGATATTTTTTGGTTGTACATTCTGTCTCTCGAATGAAAATACCATCTAGGTGTATATCTTATCTATTTGTAATGATTTGCACAATTTGTTATAAAATATGTCATTCAAGAATTCATACATGCCATCATGATATTTCTCCTTTTTGTGACTGGTATAATGCACCGTGCATCGTTTCTTTTTTTAATACTGTGGAGCAGAGTTAAATGAGACACTTTTCGTCCTATGAATATGAACAAAAAAAGACTTCACATGACAGTTTATGCCTGTCTGGATAGAGTGCTTTCTGGATAATCATATGGAGTCTGGATTTCCATTGTTTACCAGCTGAGTGCTTTAAAGCAAACATGAGCAAGGCAAAGTTTCATAACTACAGCTGAAAAATATCAAGATATTTTTTGGAATGAAAAAAAATTCAGCCAAAAAAAATGAAGTTACACCTGCCATCATGTCCCAGACAACTGTCATCACGTAACTTCAACGTCTGAAATGCTTAACCAATCTATAATGAAATCAAAATGTCAGAAATATACGGAAAATATCATTTATATCATCTTTTAGTTTCTTCTGCTTTGTTAAGTCATTAAATGATAACTTTTTCAGGTGAAAGGGTTATGAAGCATTTTCCATGGTTATTATTTAGGTCAAGTATACTTTAATAATTTTTTACTGGACTAAATTATAATTGAATTCATTTGTGAATTATTGCCACCATATTTCCTAGAGTTATTTAATATAGGTTTGTTCTAATCATGACATTTATTGTATTAGGATCCTTGTACCACTGCCAAAAACAGCAGCTATGCACTGGCAACTGATTTTGCAGGCATGTATGTACATGTAGCAATGATAAATCATTTCTGAAAAGAAAGTCATACCCTGTGTAACTTTTATTAAAGATAATAGCGATGAAATAAACAGTGATCTGTGTGTAAAAAAATAAATAATGGGGCTTCAGATTGTTACACTGTCGCTTTAATTGACTCACAGAGCTTAACCTGGTTAATTAATGGTAGTGTCCTGGCCAAACTGTGGTACAGTATAATATATCCAAAATAAAGTTAAAGGGAGGTTACTCTGTATAGGATAAACAGTGGGACATGGATCATTGAGTGTAAATACAGATACACAAATGAGAATATTTTTTCAAATGAAACAAAGACTACAATGATTGATTAACTAGATAAACCAGTTTTGCAAATCAAAACCATGAATTATACAATATTTGTTATAAAATGTTCATGCAGCAGGCTTCAGCAATGGACATCACAGTTAATCAGAACTGTTACTGCTCTATCAACTGAACAGCATTAAATCTTCTTCCTATGAACTTTTATATTGTTATAACTATATATCTTATATTTAGCATGCCCTAGTAATACAACATTTACTTAAACAAAGTGGTTGAGGGGTAGTTGCATCTTTAAGGCTTTAACATTTCTTCTTCAGAAGTGTTATAATTAAATGATAGACCTTGATGTATAATATTTAGCATGTCCTAGCAATATCACATTCATATTGGAACAAAGTGATTATAAGGGGCAATAGTAGACTAGCTACCACCCCCTAGGTTTTTATGAAGAATTTCCCAGCTGCAATTTACTTCTAGCATATCCCAATAGTTTGAGAACTTAGAATCAGACATCCAACTAATCAGAATTATTATTAGAGGTTTTTTTATGAATAATTCAATATTTTAGAGATGGGGGCCTGTCTAGGGCAATTATAGCTTTAGCTTTGAAATTTTCTTCAACAGTGTTTTCTTACATGGATAAAAGCATATCTAAATATTTAAAACTGCAAGGGTTCATGAAAAGACCCAAACCAATAAATGAAAGTTCAAATACACTTTGTATGACCAGTATTAAGTATGAAGATTTTCACCAGGTTATTTTTCTCACTTTTTTTGCATCAAGTTATTCACAGGTCTGATATCACAAGAATGCTGTTGAAATGTGAGTGTTGTTAAATATCTGCTCTCACCAATTAGCTTACAGGGAAAGAAAATGTGAACTAATGTTCATCATATCCTAGATGGACAAGGTAACTTCATTATGCATTAGCATTATTAGTTATTACGATTATTTTTATCCAAAATATCAATTGGAATAAAAAAAAATCAAGCTCCGGTTAGACTTATAATTATAAGTTGCATTGCTGTAATTCGAAAAGTCCAACTGTCATCAAACTTCATTTTTAGATACATTTTAAGGAATGCTACAACTGAACACCAAATGTAGGTCACTGTGACCTATATTTTCTGTTTTACCGACTAAATTGGTTAAAATCAAAGCATTTAGCTACATTTGTTTTTATTAGGCTGGGATATTTTTATTTTATTTAAAGACTTTGGATAAGTTCCATTTCAATATCTGTAGAAGTTTGGCAAGTACGCTCTTACGGGAATTTTTCGCCAAGTCAAACTATCACCATTGGAGGGTAAAATCCGTTTTTGCCCTGTATTGAATTCACCCTTCACATTTAATTACGATGTATATTTAAGGATTGACCTTCATTTTGACTGTGTATACGGTAGTATGAACGCAGTTGGCATCGAACATATTCTAACACGCTCCATAAAGAATATGTTCATTGCCAACTGCTATCATACTACCGTATACGCAGTCAAACTGAAGATCAATTCTTATATTTACATATTTTCGTACTATGATGGTACACTCAGAATAAAGCTAACTCCAATACATTTGCTTTTATAATGGTACAAAGCCTCCGTAACATGCGTAAATCCAAACAAATGAACAGCCTACAGCCTGCGAGCAGCGATGGATCTCCAACGTTACCATTATGACGTCACAATATAAATTACGTCATCAATAGGAAACAATGGTCTCCAAGGAATCTCACTGCATATACGGTAATTTATACGCAGTCACGGTTTACACAGCTTCAATGGGAGCGAATGTAAATATGTATATATATATGTTGTATACAAATGTTCGCTGTAATGATAAAATCACCCTGATAACAGACAGCAAAAAAGGCAAAAATTAAACTGCAGCAAAAATGTCCAGTATACAGTATTATAAATTGGAGTCAAGTGTGTCCTATATAATCAGGACTTGATATTTCACTGTAGGGCCCCTGGACCTATAGTCATGTAGAATGACTTAATTGTAGTACTCCAGAGGCCTTCGTTGTCGTGAGATAAAACATGAGAATAAACAATAAACTTCTTGTTTATAAAGACAGACAATTGAACTTTCTAAATTTTCAGTGCTCTGAAATATTGGTGTTTTTAACTTTGCTGTGGCAATATTGCCGCATATGTAACATATCACCAGAATTCTTATTTACATACAAAATCTGAACACGTGGCAATATTGATAGTGTGTCAGTCTTACTATTTCTGTAATGGGGATCCCGGAGCTTTTATCCATTAAGATAATGACATTGATGATGTTATCCCAATTGGTAGAATTTATGCTGATCATCTCTTTGCGGAGTTTCAAAAATGGAGTCTACAGTTATAGACATTGTCTATAGTGTGTATGTTCAGCCACAGAGACAAGCTTTTAGTTTCACCGATAAGTAATTGACAAAAGTGCCTCCCTCTGGTTTGTTCAGCCACGCCTCTGTACAATAGATAAGCAATGTTATTGCGTTCTATAAGCTATAGCTAACTGGTATAAGATTAAAATCTTTCCTATGTAATGCACTGGAGTTTACATGCCTATAGTTTACAGAAACCGCTGGGTATGTGTATACAGTATACTGGGACGATGGTAATAGTTAGGAGTTTTCAAGTAGCATTAGGTCAAACTTTGTTCTTCCAACTCTGAGACGATGATTAAATACTTTTGATATCACATTCTTTGGCATGTTACATTAATATTGAATGTCTTAATTTAAAAAAACTTGTTAAACTTGCACCAGGAAAACTTGAAGAATTGTCTCAAATTTTGCAGAACATTTTGTATCCTTATAATGACAGTGGTTATACTACAGTCCTTTTAAATTTATTGGAAATATTATTATATATATAGCATTTTGAAATGCAAAACCTGGTTTGTATTCCAATGTCATGAAATATTTTTTCAATACTTTTGATTTTGGATATAAAAAAAATGCCTAAACTACTCAATTTCAATATTAATTTTCCTCATTTTGTTAATTTACCTAGTGGAAGTAATGCTTTTCAGAAAGAACTTTTTTTGCAAAAATTAAAAATTCTCTAAATTCTGAAATTCATTTGAAACCACTGTCTTGGACCACTGTTGCCTCACTGAGAAGTTTTCCGGTATTTCTTATGCTGTTTCAGGGTAAGAAATTAGGTACAAATCAATCCAGCAACTGCGTTGAGCTCTGTATTTTATCAAGGATCCAAAGGTTTAGATCGGTGTATAAACACAGTACAATGACCCAATAATAAACTTGAAAGCTGGAGTTTGTTGATGTAGCCTGTGTGTATAGTCTAAGTCTGAAAGAAACAGATGGTATATATACCAACATTGATGCCACCTCCTTAACAGCGCTGCAAACAGATTTTCCAGGTGTGCGAAACATGTACTCTGTCACTTCACACCTGTTAACGAGGTTTTGATGGGGCATCTATAGCTATATTTATACGTTCTTGCCCAGAATAGACGTACCTTGTAACTACAAAGGTCTCTCTGTGTTTACACTGGTACCGGACCCAAAGGCACCGGGCAAAACGTGCTGCAACTCTGCCGAGAACAAGTTTGTTAGTTTATGATTCCATTGATCGAGAAGTTCTGCAGATTACTTCCTGTGTTTTTCTTTCCGTAAAACTTTTAGTTTCTTTTTTACCTTTCATTATAACCCTGGGAGTTGTAAATTACCTGTGTGGTAGTACATCAGGCTTTTTTTATAAGAAGTAACTTTGGGAAGTTTTTGTAAGCTGTCAATAAATACAGCAGAATCTTCGTTCAAACAGATACATTCACCCTCATTACATATAGGAACTTACACTCTGTTCAGTACACATATGGAAACATGCATACTTGCTAACTATCCCTATTTTAGAGGGATCGAGACTCCTGATTTTTGGCCTGAAAAAAATCAGGAGTATTTGATTATGAAATCAAATACGTTTTTTCTCTGCAACACTGATCAAATAAAACAATATTTTTTCAGTATGCTTAAATTATTGATCAAACATGACCATATTTTTGTTCATATGGTTTTTATTTACATTAATATTGCCTATCATCGGAGCATTTCATTGATCAAAGTTCATATTCCTGGTGGATTATAGTTCTGTGTAATATTATATAGGAATCTCTCAGAATCTTGAACCATTTTCCCCGATATATTGTGTACCAAGCCTCTGTGTGAATCTGACCCAGAGGAGATTTCAGAATCAGATGGAGGCAGGGGGAATGGCTTTACCATCAATCACGTATAGAATATGTTTGTCATGATAATGTTTCACCAACGCATGATAAGGTCAGAGACTGTGTTGGTCTCTGGGCAAATATTTCCAGACCAGTGTAATGTTAAATCAATATATACAATTTCTCTGTGGCACAATTTCTGGATGGAAATTCCAATAATGTCCCGAGGGCATGATTCTGCTCTGCATTTTCTCAAATGAGCTTGCTGGTCTGAGAGTACATTGTATGGCAAGATAACATGTACTGACAAATTATGGTGATAATTATTACACAAACAATAAACTGGGCTGTGGTACAGGGTAACAGTATAATCACCTTTCAAGTCTTAAGTTATTATTACAATTTAGACAATATTCAGATCACCATAATTATATATAGACCATAAATAATATTTACCAAAATATGACAGTATTCACTGAACATGCACATTTTTCTAATTTATGCAAATTTGAACTTGTTACCATGGCAACAATGATTAGAAATACAAATAAATATTTTCATGATAGTATTTGGGAAGTATTCAAAACTAAAAAAACAATCAATTAACCCAGTCAATTGACATTGACAATTAGTCGTGTACATTTAAAAGTTCTTAATTTTGATGCATTTGAGTGACAAACATGCCCAAACCATACATAGTCGTTCGGCTCTAGTCTATTATTTATTTTTAAACCAGATTGCATTTGTTTTTTTGTTTTTTTTCAATTCACAGATACTTTCAACAGGTGCTCTTAATATTTAAGGGTTGCAGATTTGTCAGTTAAATATACTTTTTGTATCTTTCAGGGCAGAAATTCTACTCGGGAAACTTCTAAAGAAAAAGACATGGAGGTATAGTTCACTGGTTTGTTGTTCCATTCTGATACTTGTGGCATTTATTTTTTTATTTTTAAAAAGGCATTTGTTTCCAATAACTTTATCATTTAAGCGTAAACGATTATAAAGCATCACCTGTGTTGAAATCGCCTATGTATAACGGTATCTTTTTCAAACTATTATCCTTTTATCCACCAACAGCAAATAATGACTGCAATGATTCTATTTGTATTCTTAAACACATTAAAATAAATAAACAAATACACTTTAAAAAAATGTCATGTTTATTATTACGATTTTGATCAAATTACTATTCCTAAATTTCACTCTTTGATTGCAGACGATCAAGTTATGTCATTTCAACAAAAATATATTGGGGCGGAAAGTAAGTATTACGTACAAGTCCTGTACCTGTAAGCATTTACTGAAAAGAAAACGAAAGAGAGAATGTATTACAAATGTACTGATTATTGATCATGTGATTCTACCTGTAAAATGATGAAAATAAAGATTAGTTGAGAATCTATCATTTCCCTCCATATAAGACTATTGATAAGAGTTGTGATTTTTTTTTCATTTTTGCAGCTGTGATTTTTTTTTCATTTTTTTACAGAGCCGAAACAGAAAAAGGTCTTTCAAGAAAACATATTTTAGAAGGTTTGTACATGCTAATTATATAAGTTATCAAATCAAGACTGAAATCTATTATATTTTCAGGATTGTATTATTTTCATTTCTTAATATAGCTTAAATAGATATATGCACACATGGAAGTAAATTAAAAATCGAAGTACAACTTTTAAATGGTCTTTTCTACCTTTAGTTTGAAATGTATTTTCCATTGTTTATGTGAGTAATTTTCTCCATCATGTTACAGGTCTGCGAGGCTCACTAGACCGTTTACAACTTGAGTATGTCGACATTGTTTTTGCCAATAAACCTGACCCGCATACACCTATGGAAGGTATGTACTAGTTTTACTTCAAGAAATGTCTTCATCAGTTCAAAACAATCTTTTGTATTATCAATCTTTTGTATTATAGAGCTGTCTTCCTCTAAGGGTCACAACAATGTATCATATTACAGAAAAGTCTTCTTGAATTTTGACAATGTGTACTATATAAATGTATCTGGGATTGCACGCTAACACTATTTGACATTATAAAAGTATCTTCCTAAGCCAATGACAAAGTTTTATATCATAAAACATATTCATTTTAACAACAATGTTTTGAATATTAGAGGTGCTTTCCTTAAAGGTTCATGTCAAAGTTTCATATATAAAAACATATTTGGTACAAGTGGGCAACAATGTATGTGTTACAAAGGTTTCTTCCAAGATTTTGTGACAATGCTTTATATTACAGAGGTGGTGCGAGCGTTCACCCATGTGATAAACCAGGGCTGGGCCATGTACTGGGGGTCGTCACGATGGAGTGCCACAGAAATCATGGTCAGTAGTTTTTAATTTTCATGCTTAAGCATCCCCATACCACTGCCAAAAACTTTAATTAAGTATTGCACTGTTTTTGTCTCGCCGCGACGAAGTAGCGGAAGCGAGACTAATTAGGTGCTGCTTTTCTGCGGTCATCAACATTAAGTGTTTGCGATTAACTTAGTTTCACTGAAAGTATAAGTGCTAGACTAACCGAACTTGGACCATACAGGCATCTTAATTAGGTAGTTCATCTTAAACCATGTATTAAATGCTGAATGTGGCCTACCTTTCATGGTCCATTGAGGTTGTCAGCATTTCCATCAGCATTAAGTTTTTGCGTTAAATTAGTTTCTCTGAAACTAGAAGTGCTAGACCAACCAAACTTGCACCATAGATTGCATTGATGGTCAAAGCGTGGCACAGGTGAGACATATCAATCCGACTGGCTTGTTTCTGATATGACTATACCTTTGATATATCATTTCTGTAAAGAAAACCATACTGTACGGGACTTTTATGGGAAACAATAAAGATGCAATGAACAAAAATATAATTAACAACACTCACCGAGTGTAAAAATACATTGCAGGCTAGACCTGGATTCGAACCCTGAACTTCAGACTGCGAAACTAACGCTCTAACCCATTGAGCTACCTGGTTGTCAAAAGTGTCCTGGCCCCATTGTACTACAGTTATATCAAAACGGCAGTTCAGGGGAGATTAGGGTATATAGGGGGGTAAACAAAGTGCAGTGGGACAGGGATCCTTAACTTTACCAATGTCACATTTCCTTTCAGTAATGATTACAGTAACTTTAGTTTGGTATGCATTTCATTTAGACCGCATACATCATTCATACCATCGCCAAAACATATTGGATGTGCACAATTCAGGTCTGAGGATGTTTTCTTTTATAACAGGAAGCCCATTCAGTTGCGAGACAGTTTAATCTGATTCCACCCGTTGCTGAGCAAGCAGAGTACCATTTGTTTCACCGAGAGAAAGTAGAACTCCACATGCCAGAGCTTTACCATAAAATAGGTAAGATATATATATGATAATAATAATACATGTAATATACAACATTTGATATAGTGCCCTATCTAGCTATATCTCTGAATATTCCATGTGTATGACGACTTTGGGGATCGAACCCCGGCCGCCTGCGTGGAAGGCCAGAGTGTTAACCACTCGATCATTATGCCCATATATAATTAATCATAAAAAGTTCATCTTTTCTGGGCTGAAACTTTGAAACTATTAAAACTTTCTGAATGAATCTTGAGCTTTACCTAAAACACCTGCAGAAAGTGTGCAGTGCACTTCTACTTGGTCATTGTGACCTTGACCTTGATGTCAAAGCTCATTTAAATGTAAAATTTTCAAAGAGATTTTGTCCAGGACATAATATTAAACCTTTCAAGATATCTTAACTTAACTTGAATGATACCTCTGCATCATCCACAGAAGATGTGCATCATGATTGATGACGTTCTCATCTTAAATCAAGTCTAGGAAATAAAAGGAATTGCCACCATTTGATGTACATTGCTTCTAACATTTAAGAATGTAACTCAAATCATTGCAATATTATCAACAGTGATATTTACGACATAATCAACAGAACTTATTACTGCTGACAAAAACAATGTATTAACTCATTCACCCCTGAAGACACCTGAACTCAACCAATTCAAAGGTTGGAATAGTTCATTATGAAATTTCAGGGGTGAATGAGTTAATAGAATAGCTCTATTGTCTGGTAAACAATTGACCTTGACCTTGTTTTACAGGTATAGGAACAGTGACGTGGTCCCCACTAGCGGGTGGGGTACTGACAGGGAAGTATGATGATGGTGTTCCTATATACTCCAGAGCAGCTCTAAAGGTAGGTTGTCAATATGCTTGATATGGTTTGGTTTGGTTTAATTTTGTTTAACGTCCTATAAACAGCTTAGGTCATTTAAGGACGTACCTCCATGTGTGTATGCAGGGGACAGTGTATGTTGGTGTGCTTGCCTCCTTGTGATAGCGCAGATCTGATGCCAATTTTATAGTGCTATCTCACCGAAATACCCTGCCAAAAGCACCCAGCATAGCATTCCGCCCGGTCACATTATACTGACAATGGGTGAACCAGTTGTTGCCATTTGATATGTTAACACCACATAAATGTACATAACTTGATAACAAAATCTCTAACCCACTTTCTATTACTTTGTGGAGATGGTAACTTTAGTGAAATCTCTTGTTAGGGCCCCGTATCGGAGATATGGGTGCCCTATAGTAATCACTCTGTCTGTCTGTCTGTCTGTCTGTCTGTCCGTCCACAAATTTTGTTCCTGGCTGATAACTTTGGTATTTATTGACCGATGTACATGAAACTTGGTCAAGATGTTCAGTTCACAAAAATACACATTGAGGTAAAAAGTCAAGGTCAAAGGTCAATGTCATTAGGTCCAAAGGTCAAGGTCAAATTTTGTAGCTTTTCACTGGTGAACATTTCGCTATGACATTATGGAGCAAAGTTGTTCGGAATTAAACAAAGAGACACACTGAGGTAAAAAGTTGAGGTCCAAGGTCAAGGCCATTAGATTCAAAGGTCAAGGTCAAATTTTGCACCTTTTCACTGATGAACATTTTGCTATGACATAATGAAGCAAAGTTAATCAGAATTAAACAAGGAGTCAACTGACCAAAGGTCAAGGTCATTGGTCAAAGGTCAAGGTTAAATTTTGTATCTTTTCACTGGTGAACATTTCGCTATGACACTTTGAAGCAATGTAGCTCAGAATTAAACAAGGAGTCAATTGACCAAAGGTCAAGGTCACTGGGTCAAAGGTTAAGGTTAAATTTTGTACCTTTTCCTTGATGAACATTTTGTTATGACATTATGAAGCAATGTTGTTCAGAACTTAACACAGAGTCAACTGACCTTAGGTCCAGGTTACGGGATCCAAAGGGTCAAGGTCAAGTTTTGTATTTTCACTGATGAACATTTTGTTATGATATTAATAAGCAAAGTTGGTCGGAATTAAAGAACAAGTCAACTGAACAAAGATTAGGGTCACTGGGTTAATGGTCAAGGTCATTTGGGTCCAAAGGTCAAAGACAAAGCGGATCTCTGACTTTGACCCTGGCTCTTGATGGAGGAGGTATATAAGGTGAAATATAACAAATCAAAGCTAACAAATGAGTATTGCACCGGTATTTACATTTCTGTTAGCCCAGCAAATATGGAGGGGGAAGGAAACAAGACTCGCATCATAGTACATGTAAAATGTATATTTTGCTTCCTTGCGATTCTTTTTGAAGTCCAAATATCAAACGTCAAGCTCAGCTATATGGGCAGACTGCTTCTTGATGATTATGGGGGATATATTGCCACAAGACGGGGTCCTTACTGACCTGTCAGTGTTCTAGTTTATGTGTTTGATTAAATTAGATACACAAAGTGCTGCTGTTTTGTGGTGAAAGTGAGAATGTGGTGAATGGGTGGTCGGGTGGTGCAGTGGATAGCACACTTGCCTTTCCCTGATCGGACGTGAAAAGATATGGGGTCACCTACCCGACCATTTGGGTTTTCTCTTGGTACCCTGGTTTCCTCCCACATTAAGACCCTCGCGCTAACATCCAGGCCAACAAGAGTGATTAATATAAAATGAAATAACTTGTTTCATAATTGTTGTAAAATAAATAAAGTTAATGAATGTGTAGAATTTTTCTGTAAAATACACGGTTGCATCTCCAATATTAGTGATTTGTGATTCATGTTAGCCGCAGTAATCCTTGATTCTTAATGGGTAAATTGTTCAGGTTGCTCATAAAACTTACATTATACATTTGTCATTCTTCAAAATGTATTTAATCAAGCAATACCAGAAGGACAATTTTATGATCTGAGAAATATTAGCATTATTTTTGCAAGAACATGTACACTTTGAGAGGAAGGGGTGCAACTCTTCCAAAACCACTTGATGTGCACAGATAGCCTGACAAGTGTGCAATTGATTTTGATGCCTCTTGATTGTGACATTAAAATCAATGCAGACACCTTATTGGTCAGAAATGCTGACAGGATACCTATTTCATGAAGTCAATGGGTGATAGGTAGGAACCAATGATATTACAAGAGTCCAGGAGACACAGGATAATAACAATAGTCATGTAAGGTTTCCAGATAAGTGTGATCCATTGACGAGATTCTGATCCTGGTAAGGCATCAAAGGTTGGCATTTAAACACTGATTTACTGCCAGGAGGAGGATTGGGTTTTGCAATGGGGGTGTCTTGTATTGTATATATATATAGTGACATTCAAATAAGGTTTAAAAATAATTTATGGCTATCATTAATAATAGTAATGAAAATATACAACATTTTATATAGCGCCCTATTTAGCGTACATAAGCCACTCTAAAGCGCTTTACAGTACATAGATATACAATTTTATACAAGTATCATACATATATACACGCATCAACGCAATTTTTGAGGAATTTACAGAAGCTGCCTTATCAGGCGCTAACTACTAGTCCTATGCCACCTGGCTAATATCTCCCTATGTGTGTATGCTTGCGTGAGTGATGGAGATTTAATGTGTGTTCTGTTTGTAGTGGGACTGTGCTTCCAACGGTATCATTTATAGTGCCACCTCACTTGAATGCTACAGCACAGATACTGGAAAATCCACCCCAGACCAATTTATACTCCACCAGTCGGTTGTTGAGGTTGTGTGGGCAGGAGAAAAACATTTTCTCTGAATATCCATGCGTACAACAACTTCTGGGATCTAACCCCTGTCACCTGCCTGGAAGGTGGGAGTATTAAGCACTCGGCCAATCCGTCCATAAAATGTTAATCTCAAGATAAAATTGATTGCTGGTACCACTTTGGGCAAAGTTTCTCTGATCTTTCTGGGGGAAAAAATGTATATTCTTTCTTTATTCTGTTACAGGGCTATGTTTGGTTGAAAGAGAAAATTTTATCTGAAGATGGACGACGACAGCAAGCCAAACTACGAGAGGTGGCTATTATAGCCGACAGAATAGGGTGTTCTTTATCACAGTTAGCTATAGGTAAGTTTTGGTTGTCACCAGTCCCAGATGGATAAGAGATTTAGGAAGGATGCTAGTGTTTCAAGGAAAGGAAAATATACATACGTACCATGCAGAAGATTGAAAGTAAAACTAAGAAAGGAAATGATATAAATACCTTGAGAATGTAACATTTAATTACGATAATGTCCCTTAGTAGAAGTGCTGTGTATTGCAAGGGTTGTGATGATGTGATAAGTATCATCTTGCGTGCAACTTACTGTACAAGCCTGTTACCATAGTTTTACTAGATTTGAAACAAAACTTGATATGAAACAAATCTAAAGTATTTGTATTTCATGCTGAAAAAAAATATTTTTGAAGTGATCTATCTCCTAAGTTGAAATAATATTCCTTTTCGGTGATAGAACAAGAAGAAATGCTGAAATTAATTTTGCGCTCTGAAAGAATGAAAACCCCTGCATAACTTTTCTTACAGTACCATGATACTATCAGCGAATGCCACGATGCATCAGTATTCAAGATACAATACAGTTTGGGGATGCATCAGTGAAACGTTACATCCCTACATAGAAGGGGATGAAAAATAGAGATTCTAACTCTTACATTGTCAGGCAGAGGGATAAACTAGTAACCCACACCCCCTCCACCCCCTTCACCCCTCCCACTTAAACTGGAAGGGGTCGAGAGCACATGTATTTGTGAAGCTACAAATCTTGTCCCCTGCAATTTAGCAAAGCATATAAAATGTCTAGATCTCTTGAACTTATTGGCTTGTTTAATTTGATGTAACATAATTGTACATAGTTTTAAAACAAAATCTTCATTTAAAGAAATGCTTGGTGTGTCATATCATTTGTTTTCTTATTTGTAGCATGGGGTTTGAAGAATGACAATGTGCATTGTGTGCTCCTCGGAGCTTCCTCAGTCGACCAGCTTTATGAAAATATTCAAGCTATACAGGTATGTAGTGGGTGGTGCTACCCTCAGAAATTCTTCATACTGTATACCAGAGAAAAGAACTATGTATGGTTTGGGCGTGTTCTGGCCCCCAAATGCATCAAAATTTAAAACCTTTAGATGAACTTTCAAGCTGCTGTTTCTTTAATTTTGAATACTTCTCAAATACCATCATGAAAATATTTATTTGTATTTCTTATTATTGTTGCCATGGTAACAAGTTCAACTTTGCATAAATTATAAGAAGTAAATTGAATATTCAGTGAATATTGTCATATTTTGCATAGTTGTTTTGCTGGAAACTATAGAGTGCATGCTTGAGCAAACTTAATATCAAAGGATAATGTGTAGGCACCTGTATTACAACTTTAGGAGAAATATAATGTTTGTTAGCTCTATGGTAGCTAAGAGAAAAACTAGGCGAAAACCTGTCAAAATTAACTGAATATTCAAATTTCGTTAATTTATGCAAATATTAACTGGTTACCATGATGGCAGCCCATTTAAAACAAAAATAATTGTTTACATAGTAATACTGGGGAAGTATTCAAAATTAAAGAAACAGTTATTTGAAAGTTCTATTGAAGATTTTTAATTTTGATGGATTAGGAGGCCAAAAAAAGGCCATAACTATATATATAGTCCTTTACAACAGTTCCACTTTCACCCTTTTCACCCATTGCTTATGAAGCTTAATTCATCTCTTCACAGCAATTATTAGAACACAGCTTCCAGTGTAGGGCAAAATTAACATCAGAAAATTTTGTACTCAAATTAAGGCTAAAATTAATATTGGGAAAATATACATTTTACAAGTAAAGGGCGAAATTTTTCGTGGTATATGTATCTAATTTTAGACCACTGATTGTTGGCTGTTCAAACCACCCTTTGTCTGTGGTCCTAGGATCCTTAAACAGTTGTTGTTAGTGCTATTTTTTTTATTATGATTTTTTGTGAATAAAATGTATCATTTGGAGTTACCTCCCCTATTGATGGGGCAATGCCCTTTTATTAGAAAAAAATAGTTTTGCTCTACTCCCAAGTGCTTCACTGATTTATATGATACTTGGTACACAGAACCCATGCATGTGGGAATGTCAATAAAGTATATAAATTGGAGTAACCTACCCTTTCTTTAGAGTTTTGTCCTTTTTGTTGTGAAAAAGTACTGATTTAAGAATCCCAGTACCACCAAAAAAACTAACTAAAACTGAATTTTCCAACATGACTACAGCTTTGGTTAATCATTTCTGAAAAGAAAACGATATATTTCATAGCTGTTATGGCAAATGATTAATATGATATAAACACAATATGATCAACAACAATGTTCCGAGTTCTAAAATTTGGTAGTGCTTGCTAGAATTTGAGTTTCAGTCTTCAGATTGTTATAATATCGCTCTAACCAACCGAGCTATCTGGTTAATAGAACCATCTTGGCCCAAATGTGCTACAGTTACATCCAAAACAAAATTTCAGGGAGGCTACTGTATCTGCAAAAAACTACAGAGCAGTGGTACAAGGAGCCTTACATCAAGATGATTTAAATAAATTTCATAAATTAGAGTTACCTGCCTTATTTATGGAGTTATGCCCCTTTGTTAAAAAGAACATTCTCAAACGAACTACTGTATACTTTTAAAACTTCACCATTTTCACCCTCTGTGATGAGGGCAAATTTGGAATTATGGCAAACATTTGTAATCAACATAATACACATAGTAATTTAACGTAAAGGGCGAGTTTAGTATATGGCAAAAATTATCGTACTGTCGAAGGACAAAACATTTCCTGGTATACCGTTTTTTTTTACAGTTTTTGGTGCAGGCAGGGGATACAAGTCTGCCATTCTTGTGACCGAACTTGTTGAATAAATGTGTATTTATAGGAAAGGATTTTTTTAAATCTTGCAAAATATATTTCTTTTACAGTAATTCAACAACTAGTATCTAAATGCTTGTAACATTGATGGGTAAAGTGTGGTAAAGGATTACATGCTTATGGTTATGACATAAAAATGTTGAGTAAGAATGAGGTTGTTTTCTTTTACTTTCAGTATGTTCCCAAACTTACTGCAGACATAATGTGCGAAATAGACAAAATGTTAGGAAACCGGCCACAGCAACGTAAAGACCCGTACAGGTGATACTCGCATTCTCATCGCAACAATACTCACATTCCTGTATACTCCATCCAGACCTTGGATGGACAGGGTGTGATTTAAAGTTGTGATTTTTCACATTCGATCTTGACCTTTGATGGAAAGGGTTTTTGATTTTTGTTTTGATTTTTTTGGCATTCTCAATCTCTTCCTTTGTTTAACAAGAGTTTCAATTTTTGCATAGTTTTGATCTGTGATGTGAATTCCTCTATAGCATATCAAATAGAAATGTTTTCTTTATCATTCTTTTACCTATTTATTTTGTTATGCATTTTTTATTCAAAATTATAATATCATGCCTTATTATTATTTTTAGGTAGTAAGACCTACAACTCTGTAGTTTATTGCTTTCCAGCATTTTAAAAACTGTTAAAGACTGTGTCATTTTTAATCTTTGTGGCAGTTATCAAACCATCTTTTTCTGTAAGTTTCCAAATTCTCTCCAGAGATGTGCAAACTAGACAAAATGTTAGTTTTTCTCACATTTTTCTTTTCAAAACTATTTTAGATTTAGAATTAAATTAAACCATGACTTTTGATTTTTTAGAATATTTGACTGAACAGAAAAACTTGTTTCATACAAAGAAGCTTTCTGATTAGTTCCCTTAACATAATGATTTTTAAATTGATTTGTTTTTAAGGACAAAGAGCGTACCCTCCATACAGTTACAAAATGGGGGAGTCCATATCTAACCCAACACAGTAAGGTAAATATTAAAACGATTTTTACATGTTAATTCCCATTTCTGCTGGGCCAGCTTAAAACTAATGCAAGCCTTACAAACATTATTTAATTTTTGAAGTTGACAATTGCTTTTTTAAATTCAATACACAGTAGTTTTGATGGGGGAGGATGAAAATTCAAGTTATGATATTTCATATCGTTTTAATGACTCTGATTTAAATTCCTACAGTTAAATACATTTATTAGTAAGTACTGTACTGGCATAAAGAAATGAAATTGCTTTTGTAATGTTGTCCTGATGTTGTAAACCCGTCAATTAATAACCAGGTATAGACTTTGACAAATCTTCACGTTCCTCTGATAAAGTTTTTAAATCTAAAAGCAGTGATTTTTTTAAAATTAATAAATCAAATATATCTTTGAACTGCCACGAAGAATTATTCAGTTTTGACACTCAATAAAGGAACAAATATTTTTTTCTACAAAATACAACATTATACCTTTGTCATTATATATTATAATCTGCCAAAGAATTATTAATTTGTAACCCACAATAAATGAAAACAAATAAATAAAAAGAACCTAAATTTCATCTAGAAAGTTTTTTTTATTGAAAAGAAAACATTATATACCTGTCTTTGCCGTTTATTTTATTTAGGAGTAAAACATGTTTTACATATACATGTATTTATATAATTGTTTTGCATTGTGTTGAAACAAAACTAGGAATATTTTTCTTCATAATCATCATTTTGTGGGGAAGCATTAAGATATGTATTGGAAGGATTCTATTATTACTGTCAAGTTGATATATTTTGAGCATGCAAGAAATATCATTTTGAGAAAAATTACTTCCATATTTTATATACAACTTATTAAAATTGATGCCAAATTCCGCCAAGAAAGATAAAGGAAGGAGATTGTCATGCTGTTGCTGAGATAGAATCAAAAATGTTCCGGGATCATGGATAATAAATGTTCCGTGATTATAGAAAAATAAATGCTCCATAAATCATGCTAAAATGTTTGTCTTTCATTTTGATTCACTCTAAAGGTATGAACAAAATATATTAACAATATTTGATCCATGAATAAGTCACGTCAATAAGTGTTGCCAATAAGTGAAATATCTGTATGTTTTATTTGACTCCAAAGGGTAAGAGAAAAATGATATTCAAATTCATAAAAATGTATTAACATCTTCAATGAATTGTTTCATAAATTATACTGATTTGTTTATATATTTTTCTTATTTTTTATTTGACTCCAAAGGGTAAGAACAAAACAATCACAACATCCTAAATCCTAGCATTGAAACATCATCTGTGTGGTCATTGAGCTCTAATTAATAGGTATCGGGTTGATATCTAACACTCACTCTGGCTGTCCTTTCTGTGTTTTGTTCCAAGATTTGCCTCTCATTTGGAATGTATATTTATATACAGACATACTTATTAAAAATATATTTTCAAATATTGTTTGTTATGCATTTTCAGTAGTTAGCTTAGGCTGCATTCTAGTCGATCTCACTACAGCTAGATGATTCAAAGTTTTTAGATTAAAGATGAAATATCCAACCAATTTTACATTTATTTTACTATCATTAATAAGTCATCTTGACAAAATTAATACAATTTGAAAATATTTTTTCTTAACAACTTCAATGAAAAATCTACTATATTTCTTTTTTGTATATTTATTATGTATAGATTTACTAGACATAGAACATTTTACTTATATTTTATTGTTTCTGGGTTCATGGGACAAAAGAACAGGTGAAGAAAAATCTGGCAAGAATTGTGTTGAACTGCAAAATGACAAAACCAATTTATTAGGTCAGATTGTACATAGTTCATATTTGCTAAACTTAAAGAAACGGAAACCAAATAGTTGGTCATCAATATCTATTTAAAAAGTATAAATTATTAAAGCTTTTGTATCTTTCAACACCATACTACCGGAGAACATACAAATATCATGAACTCATGAACAGCAGTTAATTTTCAAAGGGAAATCAGATAAATGATGAAACAATTGTCACTCTCAGTCCCAAGATTTAGGCCTCCTGGACTTCTTCATGGGCGAAAGTCATGGATGGATTCTAGCTACGTCAATCATGATTCGTTGGAAGTAGATGAAATACTTTTCATGTGATCGACTGGTTGTTACCAAAACAATTCTTTTTGACAGAAAAATGTGTCTATGAATTACTAAGTAGCGAACAATGTCTGATTTGAGTCAGGTTGATTTTGGAGGCAATTCGTTTGTTTGGGAACAGATTGTTTCATTATTGCACTTCATATATATCTTTTGGGATTCTTGGTTAGACAGCATGATTAGACAACATAACTTTTCTATCTTATAGTTTGTGCCTGCATTTTTAACCTTAAAAAGTTCAAAAACAGAAATTTCCAAACGTGAGAGTAATAACATTTCTGACAACAAAACACAAGGGAGACAACTACATCGTTGTATCATATAATTTATCCATGGAATGCTTCTTGGTGTTTTTTTACACATATGTAAGCGTTTAGTTTTATACATTACTATTTTGGCACAGGTTGTGTCTTTATTATCATAATCAAAGCATGAACACTCTCCATCTTTCTGGATAGCAACCATCCTTCATCTTTCTGGATAGCAACCATCCTTCAAACAGGACAATATGACGTCATGAGCTTACCTTGTTCAGAATACTGATAAAACCTAATCAGTGGGAATATCATTTAAAAATATGTCAGTAAATTAGGCTGTCATATTTAATGTATACATTTTTTATACTAAAAATACGAAATGCTAGAAAACATTATTTGCATAAAGCTACTAGCACACCTGACTGACGTTTATCTGGTAAAATATTTGAGTACAGAATTAAATTAGCATGACATAGTTCTCAAGTCGTGTACTTGAAGGATGGCTGTGAACATATTGGTTCTTCTGGTGTAGTATAAGCATTACACTATAAGATATATTTCATTTACTGACATGTTCGTTACTGAATCTAACAACGTCCTAGATTACATTGTAACTTAATGATGCGTTAAGATGAACTACATTAATCTCTTGTAATAATTTAATGATGTAACACGAAAAACTGCATATTTCTCATGGCCTTGTTAGATTAACATATCGTAGGACCGTTATTTGAAATATATATGATGTTGATGTTGAAGAGAAATATATGTTCACCTGTGTATACATGTTTCTAATAACATACAGCGTAATATTTGAAAAGAGTTAGGACATTGCACCAGTTCTGTCAAATTGAAATACTATATCTAGTTTTGGTGTTAATTTTCAGGATTTCAGGAGATACAAGCTTCATAGGTGATATCCATTAGCAGGTTATTTTTGCAACAAGCTTCATACGTGATATCCATTAGCAGGTTATTTTGGCAACACTTTTATCATAAATTGATGTCAAAATAAGCGATTTAAATTTTGGCAATCTATAAGATACTAGAAAACTAAACATTTTGCGTGAAATTCATAGATTTGGCAAAATGTATCTGTTACAATGTGAAACGGAAAATTGTTAGTTTCTTGTCATTGCTTAGCGATTGCGCAGGTCTAGACCCATCTTTATTCTAGACTTTGCCGCAATAAAATAGCCTCTGTATGCAAGCGATAGATTTGGATACAGCAATAAGCGACCAGGCTTAAAACCGAAGTGTTTTGGAAGACAGAAAAAAATACAAGTTGGATAAAATAAAAGATCAAGATGACGACTTGCCAAATCGTCGGTATTACACAAACACGAAAAAAACACAGTACAGTTTATCATCTAGCACAAAATATCCTATATGCGTTTTAGACCATATTCAGACATGCATACACGTTTGATCTGTTTTTGCCCTAATAGCTGAAAAAAACTCTCCGGTGAGGTTTCGTTCTACTAGGATACAAAACTGCCTGGAAAACAACAAACATATACATATGATATCAAAAATATAATAAAATATAATCGTGATTATTATTAAGTTTTATATAGCTATCACATACGTTTATAAATGTGAAAAGTGTGTAATTGCATTCATTGTGACGTTATAGGAAGAAGCAATGAAATGATGTCATGAATTCAGGTTTTCTTTTTATTATTTTTTGTAACATAATATGTTATTTAATATCGGTAAGTCGAAAACCGTTTCCATTCCGTCTTATTAATAAAACATACACAAATTGTGTCCTGTATATACTATATTTTGCAAATGTTCATGCATTATACTTAAGACATGTTTATTTTTTTGTCCAAATGTGATAAAACTTATGCGTTAATATGCATGTTGCAAATTTAGGGTTGATTTTCAGTATAACTTATTCTATTAACATATGTAATTTGGACCTGTCTAAAAGAGCTTCGTCGTCCTAGTGCAAGCAAAAGGCTTTCATACAATGAGCATCAGAACCTGTTAAAATATTGTAAAGTTTCTTCAAGTGGTTACGCTCACTTTCGTTCTTTGCTCCCTGGAAAGTGTCACAATAAAACCAAGGCATTCAGTTAGCGATTTGATTGGTTTCAGGTTAAAAAATAGGCTGATACCTGTCCGTTGAAGCTTACAAAGGAGCGCTACCTGACTTCAAAGCCGGTCGAATTTACCGTTACTTTTCTGCGCGATTCTTTCGATGTACATCAAATGATGACATGTGTTAACTGGTTTCATCCACAAGGTACAGAGCCTACAATTTCTTCATGACATTTTCGAGGAATCAAAGAACGCGAGTGAGTGTAACCCAAGGAATGTTGAGAATGGTTATTTAGTCGTGACATGTTCTCGCATTACTAGTAATATCTTGAATGTTAAAATGTTATAATGGTTGTCTAAGCTTCAAATATATGCATGTATGAATACAGGATATGGTTTTTCTCCCATTGAGACTGTGTTTTCTTTTTCTGTTATAGAATGATACCGTTTTGTAATTAGCATCTTCTACATGACTGCCGTTCTTTGTGTGTGCACGCGGGCACCTTGTAAGTTAACTGTTTGGTTATTTTGTGGACACACCACCTGCTACTGATCTCTGTAAAACATTAACAATTAATTAAGATTGGTATTCCTGTATCATGATAAACAGGCAGGACTAGAATTAAAGGGGAAATCAGACATTCCACACGTATACCTAGATTTTCGATTTTGGTATTCTGAATAGCAATGTTAGATCAGACTTTTATATTGATAGTGGCAGTATATATCAAGCCCATTGATCAGGTTTTCTTACTTTTAGCCAGTGAGTCATAAATGACAAATTAGTCTTAAATAAACGGGAAATATCACAGTAGCCTGGGTGTCCACCCATCCAATAAATTTTGATGGGAAGGAAGATTAATAGATTATAAAGTCGCTACCTTTTCTACTTGCGTCTTGAATTCTTACTTTTAGATAATTGTGGTATATATGATACATTTTTACAATAATAATAAAAAAAAGATAATAAAAGATTTGGTTCACAATAAAAGCTTAATAGATATTAATATACTCAGATGCTAATATGTTACGTGATATATACGTCTTTGATATAATGGTGTGCATTTATAAATTTAAAGCGTTGATAATAAATATGCCCTGTGATAAAAGCTGGTTAACCAGCATTCGGGAGTCGCTATTCCGATAGATTACCTGGTTCACTGGTATACCGTGAAGGTCAAACCCCCTCATCAGCAAATATTACATTGCAGTCACTGTCTAATATTGAAATACAAGAGTGCAACACATTTGACTGGCTTGTGAAGCATGTGATTGGCTACTGACTTGTTAATTACTAATGAGCAAACCACGGTGGACACTTATTTTTACCGATTATCTTGTTAATATTTCAAACATATTTAGAGTCATTTGTTTGACAGAACACTTCCTAGTTGAATTATAATAAGACTGACTTACTGGCGTCCTAACTATACTTAAACAAAGTATGTTTACACGTGTAAATTACTGTATAACGGGGAAATTTCGCCGCAGTTTAACTCCTCGAAGTTTTTGCCCTCCCCAGTGAAGGCGAATCAACATACAATACAAAGTACATGTAATTGCATGTAAATAGCGAAATTTGCACAGGGCGATCTTGGATGTTATCGGCAAAGGGCAAATATTTGACTTGACGAAAATTTCCCGATATACAGTATTAATATTTATGGAGGAAATGTGAATGGATCACAAACTATTATTTGAGTTAGCCAAATTATTAGAAATAAAATAGTAGTACAGTTTTGCCATTTTTTTTCCCATGAATTCATCAATATGTTTTTCTCCCTGGCATGTGGTTTTGGTATTTGCCCAATACTGTTTCGTGCAGTGTCTGAAAATGTCACCATTCATAATTAGAAGTCACTGTTAACATCACACATATTTATCAGAGCAGATGCTAATAATTGCATAGATATTGTATTGCTTATCATTCAAATATACATGAATTTGTATGCAAATTGTCCAGAACTGTTCATAAAGATATCTTAATCATAAAATGTCATCCGTCATGTTTGAACCGTGTAACCAATGTTTAATGTTAAAATTGGTTAGTTGATTCAGACACAATTGAATATGTATATGGCATTATGTTTTATAAAAATGTATTTCCATGTTTGATTATTTATTTGGTTTCATACTGTATTAACGTCTAAGATCATAAAGGTGTCAGTCACATGTCCGTTTCACGTGTTGAAGATGTATCTTTACAATACCTAAATGTTCACACTTGCGTGTAGATAATATTATGTAATTTATTCTGTGTTGTTCAAAACGAAATTGGTTCCGACATCATTACGGCATTACTAATCTTTGATTCAAGATGTCAGTAGCATTTAAATGTCATGCAGTGTGTATTATAAAACATACAAAAACACCTATTTCATAAAACAATATGAAATGATATACAAACACCTTGATGTTTTAGATTCACCGATCCATAACTAATGTTTAGCCTTTTTCTTCAGGTTCACCAATCCATCAGCTTTTAAACGTTAATTGATCAGGTGAACCATCACCTTTTAAACGTTAATTGATCAATCAAATAAACGATGTTGTAAGATTCGCTTTTCTTATCAATTTACGTTTGTTCAAAGTTCCAATGATCCATTTGTTTACTCTCTTCATGTCTGTTGATCCATTGACATATGTTCAAATATTCTTACCTAACTATCATTGATCCATGAATTCATGTATTTCCAAAAGTTCATTGATTCATAAATAAACGTATGCTTTATTTGATTAATCAAATTTTACAGTTATTGTAATTTATTACTGACTTAAGTTCTATACTGTTCATTTCGAATTTTAGAATATCACTATCTAGTCGATGTTTGACAAATAATATTTTGATCTCCCTGACCTCATGAAGATTAATATTCGACAATTTATCTTGCCAAAATCACACATTCTATGATAAGTATGCCTGCATTACCTTTTTTACGCACAAAACTTTTTTTGATATTACTGGTAATATTATGCAGCTCCGTACTAGCGTCAGTAAATATGTATATCAAATACAAAGTTGAATATTTCTGAATTATTTTCGAAAACATGGCATTACAACTGAGTATATATAAGTTGTGTGGTTTTATTTTTCATCGTAGTATTAAAGTCGATATTATATACAGAAGTAGAACACTAATAAAGTATTTTGATTATGATTAGTTATACGTTATATAGATATGTGTAATTTACGATAAGTTTGTTTTTTTATTTAACATCCATTGTTTATTGATTCCATTATTTAGATATATGTGATTTGTTGTTTATTACAACAATGGTTTCGTTATCATTCCTGATGCATCTGACCCCTGTGTGAGCCCTGCCCTCACCTATAGCATTAGTTTGCGATCCTGAAAACATAATCAATTATCTTACAAAAGTGTAAAATATTTTTTGTATTGACCAAAATGAATGAAGATAAAAAAACGTTAACGTAAAATGAGAATGAAGCCTACTTTTCATTAATCATATCCAGTACAGTAACCTCGTTAACTCGAATACGGATATTTTGCATACCCACTTTATCTTATGGTTTATCAATTCTGTGTTTCAATCCAAGTTTTTGTTTAACAATCCAAACCTGATATCTCAAAAACTCTTGCTAGTTTCGTAGGTGTTCTCGTTTCGATGACAATGTTACTGCTTTGTATTTGAGTCTGATATATCGAAGTTTGTTTATCTAAACGTGTTATCTTTTCCCAACAACTTCGTTATCACGGTTTTGCTTTTATTGTATAGGCCTCGGCCATTGAATTATATTAATGATATCTACAATTATGTAACTTTTGCGGTTATTTGTCTCTTTCTTTGTTTTTTCGGTAACAATATACTGCTTTGATTTAACGTCTAATTTCAGGTTGAATAACTAATCAGTAATGTAATAGAACAGGATTATCCAGTGTTAAAAATTGTTTAATTTAAAATACGAAAACGAAATCTAGATGGATCTACTACTACTTCTGGTTACATAAACTGGTAAAAAATGTCCTTACATGTCAATAGTAATTATGTTGAGAAACCATTGCAACACAAATACTGGAGTAAACATTTTCAATGCATTTTATGCCATTTGTTTTCAAGAGAAACAACGAGAGCATAATAGCTAATGGGGTTTTGTCATGATCTTACTACAGGGGAAGTTGCGTGGCGTGGCATTCCTTCATGCATTCAGTTATTTTCTATATGACAATTGATACAGAATGATTAGATTGTAGATACGTTTATATTTACAATATATAGCAAAGGGTGTTTTTTATTTGTTAAATATTCGGGCAAACGTTGTAAATATAATAGATCATGGCGATTTTATTTGCTCAGTCTCAATTAAATGATGAGTTCCAAATATATGTGTTTTGTTGTTATTTCATTTTAGTTAGAAATATTTTAATAAATGTTTTGGTATGTCTCTTGTTTTAACATTGTGCCATCTTTCCTTACCGCTTATGGTTTGATTTACTTAACTTCTTCGTGTGGATTGTATTAACTGACCTAGTGTGTGTTGCATGCATGAAGTAACACAAAAAGTAATGTTTCTATGGTAATCACGTTGACAGTCTGACAGGAACAAACTTTACTCGAATCACACATACATGTACAGATACTTTAATATAATTGTCCACACTTAGGTAATATGTAATTATCATTTTCTATAGGCTGTAATATAATTATACTTTTGTAATAAGACCAATGATACAATTTGGAAGTAGTCTTCAGTCATGAAATTCCATAAAAAATATGTTTGTTTTCGCTAGTACCATTATATTACGTCTTTTCTATCCTGATAGGGATTCGTCGATAATATTTATAGTTATAGTTTTAATGTGATTGAAAGACGATATATAATTTTCAGTACGAATAAATGCAATAATATGTATATATACACTTAAGAGACTACGAGCATAATATTCGGAATATTTTTGATTGGATGAAAATTAGAATAAATCTCCAGTGAAAGATCAATTTTTTACATTTTTCAAAGACTATTCCTAAATAAATTGCAAGATCATGAAGATAAATTTCAGATGAAAACTCGACTTATGTGGCTGATATTATTTTTTACCTGTTCTCAATAATATTAACTATGAGCCTATCTCAAACTTTGAGGGGCTTACATGTACCACTCAAAGGAAATTCCAATGTTATATGTATAAATTTAAAGTAGAGACGTAAATTTGTGGTGACTATTGAACCTTTTCTACAGGAGACTCTTTTTTATAATCAAAATATCAAAGTTCTGAAGATATTGTTATATCTTTCAACAAGTCTTTGTTGCACTGGAAAACGACTAGATGTCAGATTTGTTATATCGTAGATCAATTTTAGTTAAATATTGCTATTTTGAAGCGACGAAAACAAACACTGTGCATGTACAGTATGTATTGTCAAGCTAAAGCATCTTTAACTCAACACCTGATTACGTATTTTTTTCGCCAAAGATTAAATAAGTTTTGTGACAGGAGAACAATTTTAATAATCTGGCCCATTTAAACATCGTTGTGAGCCTAATCACAACACACATACCTTGTTATCTGTAAATGATATTTACTGGCGCAAGAAAACTCCAAGATCGTATAAAGTACTGGGGAAAAGTAGGACCGATACAGGTATGAAGACGTTAGACCGCGGAATAAGGTATCTAAGCCCGTGGTTATACACAAAATTGTCAAAACTTTCAAACATCTAACGCAGATCAATCTAATTACACTGTTCTAGACAACCTACTTGGAACTTACCGAGCAGTTTGGAAAAAGTTTCATGTCGTTTAGTTCACCTTTAACAGCCCAGATATTGCATCTCGGATAATACAACCAGGTATCACATCTCAAGTAACACAACCAAGGTATTATCACCCAAATAAGCAATCTCTCGATACTCGCACCACGTGAGACGTCCAGATCACTTGCGTATGATCCATTACTAATCCAATCAGTAGGAGTATTATGTCGTTTTACTGTGAACCTTTTGGTTTTATTTTACTATGTTGACTCTCTCCTTTATTGACATAAAACCTGACAAAATAAATTAGTACATTTGAGTACCAGGAGTGTCATGACATTGCCGCTATAGACGCAACATTATCTTCAAATGATCACGTTTTCGTTTATATACCTGATATATTGGTAGGACCATATTTGTTGCAAATGCTATCAGATAAGGAAGACTTTCAAACGAGTCGTCAATCATACTCACTCTATGAAAGGTTCATCCCTGTATAATTCGTGAGAAATGTAAACTACATTGATATTGTGAAGATGTTCATCAATATCTAATTATGTGCTAGAAGGACATATCAGCGAAAATTAAAATTGGATTTTTTTTCTGCTTGAATTTTAAAATGCAAATTTAAAATCTAGTGTTAGTATAAATTTATACCCGGGATCGAAGTGCTGCAGAGCATGAGGGGTAACGTTTGTCCAGTTCAGGTTTTGCGTTAAGGTCAGTTACGGACAAAGCACTGCAGCTAGATACGTGCACCTCCACATATTAATGCCCCTCTACTTGTATAGCATGTGCGTGACTTTTTGCAACCCTGACTTCTTTGCATTAAGTGTGGGAGCGAGACATCCGTGTCTTACATACATATTTTAGTTCATTTTACAGGTTTGGTTTGGTTTTATATAATTGTTTAACGTTTTATTAATAGCTAATGTAATTTAAGGACATTCACTTTACAGTGTACTTGAATAACAAACTGAACGAAATATAAACAACTGGATTTAACTTAAATGGACTAAGGTAAATTTTACCCACCTAAACGTTACGATGTCGATTAAATTGTCAACCGAGTTCACAAAAGAAATGTTAGAGAGTATTATCAACGAATTACTAATAATTCACATATGAATAATTCTGTGATGATTTTGTTATCATCATTCCAGTTTAGACAAGTTAAATCCCTGTCTGCTAAATACGAACGGATCATAAAGCAAAGCGGATCATCTGTTTCTACGTATTAGACTGATCAAATGTTTAGTTGTCTGCGATATTGGTCATTTTTTATGGCCAAGTTGATAATTTAAGTGATGCAATAAAACTATCTCACTGAAAATTGGTATCGTTGTTTTATTAACATTATTGAATAATGAGAAGGTTTTGTTCTACAGTGATCATCTTTACCTTTTCTGTTGCAGGTCCTGAGTGCCAGGATGTCTCTCCCGTTACTAGGTACCATTGGCAAGGGCCTGGGTGGAGCCTCCGTTGGCAAGGGGGCGTAGAACCTGTGATAGTAAACAATGAATTACCAGAGCAACGGTTTTGACCACAGGTTGGCTAATTCAAATATGTGATCTGTCACGGTAGTTTCTTTGATGAGACATGTATATATAGTTGTTCATGTAAGTTGTATTCCGCGATATCAGGAAAACGCCCGTATCAATGAATATTCGAAAACGTTTGCATGATAAGTGTTAACAGGCAGCTATCTCTTCCCCATCTGCCTGCTCAGTGCCTTAAGAAGCTGCATTCATACATTTGAAGCATAATTCGTGACAAAGATTAACTTAACTCAGCTTGAAGTAGCCAAGCTTTGGTCAACGTCCAGATTCTGGAGTCAAATAACGCTGGTAAAATATACCTGTTATGGAAGCGTCGCCCATATTATCTTATATCATTCCCTCATGATTAATGTACAAGTGTCTATATACTGTATCATTATTACATCGTCACTAATCGCTGTCTCCGAAATCCAAGGATTGCGCTCTCGATGCATATCTTCTCTACACCTAAAGGTTTTCTCGTTACTGAATCAAGGACTGTGTGCGGACCATATGGATGATGCTAGTTGACTAAGAGTAACGGAATTCTGCACATCGGTTATTTCAATATAATGCTTTGATTAGTATAGTAAATCGCGCGGCCCGGCTTTGACCTCAGCGGAATTGTCGAAAATTGTTTAAATACCGGTTCATGTTTAATCTTGTATATTAGCCTTGGAATGATTTGCAGTTTTAATCACGGACCAAACAATAAGCTAACCACAAGTCTTAGATTTTGTGGTGAGAAAATTCAATAGTTCAGTGAATATGTGTTATTGGAGAGCGGGACTCCTAGAGTTTGAATATACCCTAACTGTGTTTGTAAGGAAATATCCATAATTAATTAAGTACTTATCCAAAGTATATGCTAAACACGTTCTTGAAAAATATGTCGACCAATTGCATTTGAGTGTTTGTAACAAAATAAAGAAACGATATTTTTTTGTGCTTAAATATTTTCAAATTGTATGATATTTTTTATATTATCGTTGCTTGTGAAATATTTTAATAAATAAAGAGAAAATAAATAAAACTTTCGAAAATTTCTCCCAAAAACACTTCCGTGCTTGTTAAAAATAAATATTGAATATTTTTTTAGAAATCATGGGAAATCGGGAAACAATATAAATAAAAGCAAATACAAATATTAAGATAAGAAATATGAGTATATATTCTAATTTGAACGAAGAATTAGGTAATTTCCCCAGAGACCGGGGACATATTTTTGTACATTTTGTCCATGTAAATTATTTGTGTGACTTTCCTCAACCCTAACAATGTACACCCAATGTATTTGGTTCATATATTCCTTAAACACATTATAGAGTACACTCCAAACTGACTAACATACGTTCTCTATAGATGATTTAATGATAATTTGCCGTGTGATCTCAGGGAACATGTTCAAACATTAAGGATAGATGACAAAATATCTGTATTTGGTCTTACTCGATACTCCAGGGGCTACGACCACTTACGTTCTCTGTGCCACCTGAATATGTCATGGTAAAATCGAAGGCGCAGTGTGCACCAACTTGCATCCTCGATATCCAGGGGTTACGCTCACGTTTGCTTGTGGATGAAACGAGAAGACTAGTTTGATCCTTTGATGTACATCGAAATAATATGTCGGTCGCATAACGGTAAAACTGACTGGCTTTGAAGTCGGGTGCTGCTGTAATCTGTAATCTTCAAAGGACATGTATCAGTAAAGCGATTGGTCAGGGTTTTTTCCTAAGACCAATCAAATAGCTAGCCGCCTCTAGATATCTATAGATGATCTTATGGTAAGTTGCCGTTTGATCTCAGGAACATATTCATACATGAAACATATATGTCAACATATCTGTATTTGTTTTGCTATTGGAAACATACCGAGACATATTTATATGCATCCTCGATATCCATGGGGTTACGCTCACTTTCGCTCTCTACACCCCTGGAATATGTCAAAGCAAAATTGAAGTCACGAAGATAGCTGTTGTATTGACCAATCGCTAGGCCGATACTTGTCCTTTGAAGATTACAAAGGAGAGAAGCCAGACTTCAAAGCCTGTCAATTTTTACCATTACGTGACCGAGA